TAAAAAATAAACCGAAATTGTAGCCAAACCAAACCAAACCAAACATACATACATGTGTTGTAAATTGTAATGTATTCCTACTATATTATATTTAAAAATTTCGTATATTGTAATTATACGTTTTATATAGTGCGAGTCTTAAATAAGTGCAAATATTTTCAGGACTGGTTAGGTTAGGTTAGATCTCGATAAAAGAAACATATTTTTTCTTTACCATTTTTAATAAGTACATAATAACCGAGTTATTTTACTTTGAAAATTAACAAAAAATGTTTTTTCGCTTAAATTTTGAGAAATACTGATCTTTTCTGCGGTTTCTTTCTTGTAAATTTAATCTACTACCTATGTTGCCGTATTATCGAGAAATTATGCTTTTTAACAAAAAATTCTAATTATCGAGAAATTATGCTTTTTAACAAAAAATTCTAAGTTTTCAATTTTTTTGCGAAAAAAGAACTCGTAATCGTGTTTTTTATGGTATCTATGACTATTACGTCCGTCCCCATGATTTTAATTAAATAAATGTTCAGTCAATACCATTTTATACGAAATTTAAATTTAATTTACTGTTAACAAATTATACCTTCTATGCATCTAAAGAAACATAAGAAGCAGGAATCTCATCAAAAGCTCGTCGGAGAAGGCTTTAACTCAACATTAAACTAATCTTAGTTTTTTAACTATCTAACCACGTAGTGACTCCGTTATGTTAACATTCTTTATTGAATTTTACGGCATAGATAATTTTATTGGCTCGTAAATACGACATTTGTAAACACTGGACTGTCAATAACAGACGTTAAGTTTAATGTAATAAAAATATAATCGTGCACGAAAATTTGTGTTATGCATTTTTTAAATTGACATTAATGGCCAAAATTATCACCAGCAGGAGCGATGAAATTGAATTAAAAGCACATCTAAAAAACGTATTTTTTAAAACTGATAATATGTTCCCAAGTAGCATTTGGACGTTATCTAACGTCGGGTATACGTCGCGTTCAATAAACCCGACGTCGGGTACCAACGTCGGTTCGACCGCCTGACGACCCCTATTTGCACCCAAATGGGGAATACAGATTCGGGTCGCCTCGACGTCGGTATCTGACCTAATAGGGAATGTAATCCTACCAATTACCAACGTCATATTACGTTGGATTTTAGTCACTTAAAATTCGTCGCTAAGCACTTACGTTACGTTTGGTTTCATATTCGTTATCAAGAATACATAAAAACCTAACCAAACTACCTAATTACAAATGGATTCATAATCACTCCTCGAATCTATAAGTGCCTATTTAATTTCATATTATAATAATTCTGAATCATTAATCCAGACATCAGTTTTGTCAACGGAAGTCACTTTTTTGATAAATCTGATTAAAATACTCCGGAAAACAACGAGCGCCTTCAAAATTAGGTAGATTTATGAAATAAAAATATCTATAAAAAAGTATCTCGCAAAATATTTTTTTAATTTTCTATCTGGTTTAATCATAAAACTGTACTGTGGTTCCCCCCAAACTCAACCTTATCAATATTATTCTACTAGAAATCGAAATGTGAATATAAATTTTAAAAACAAAAAACGATTTTAAAATGGCTGACAATCTGATACTTGTGTACCAATTCCGACCGGGTCTCCAACATTAGTCGTCTCACACGACCGAAGTCATCAAACCGGACGACCGGCAATCGTATTATGACGTATATAATTCCAACGTACGCCACGTAACCTCACTTTGCGTATCAGTGATTTGTGGATTTGTGCAACTATATTTTAGTTTTTGTTTTCTCCTTAAAAAAATGGGCAGCCACTAAGCCTAACCTCACATGTGGGAGGAGGCTGGGGTCTGCTGGTTTCCTAAGCTAAAAAATGAAATTAAGATGCACCAGTGTAATGCAGCATCTCTTCCGGATAAAAAGCATTTATGGGTGGAGGCAAGACATCACTACTACTATTATTATTTTGCAAAAGCCTCGACCTCTTTCTGTAAAATGTAGATGAATGTCTAAATGCCTTTTTAGTGTTTTTTTAGGCATTATAAAAAAATTAAGTATGTTTACAAAAACTTTTTATTAGGTTATATTGATGATGTTCATTAGGTCGCAAATGCTACTTAATGGGTTGTATTTACGGACGTAAATAGAGATACGTAAATTAGGTTATAAATATAAACATAAAATACAACAAAATATAATTGGACGTTACTTTAGGGATTATCAGTGAGACGTATCCTATTCGGACAACGGGTAGACGTCGGGCTAGTTCAAGTATATGTACGTCGTGCAAGTCAACGTGGGAACGACGTTGGGAAATTAATAAAAATGGTACGTTGTTATTTTGTACGTCGACAGATCGTTGAATTTACCGACTCGGATCCAACGACGTCGCTTTTAATAGGAAAGCAACGTCACCGGTCGTATTACCAGCACCCGACCTAAATTTGCACAAAGTCTGACGTCGCTTCAGGTCAGATTTAGTTCGAAGTCAGATAGATGCTACTTGGGTTAGTGATAGAAAACAATGTTCAAGGCATTATTTGATTTATTACAATCTGGTTTTTTTTATTAACATGAATAATTAACATTTCAAAAAATTGCTACAGAATTGCTCATTGTTTTACAAAATACTGAAAAATAGATGATGTTATTTATTTATTTTTCTGGACTAAAATTAGCTGCTGTTGGTTTCACATGTGTGTCTTCTTGAAAAAAAATTATATGTGTACTATGTGTACGTGTACATATTTGAAGTGAAACTTCTTACTTCCGTCTTCCTGTACTTCTGTCTGCCCATCTGAGGACTCCATTCGGGTACCTCTATCCACGTGCCGAGTTTGGTTCCAATCAACCCATAATTAAGAAAAATCCTGATGATTTTGTCCATTTTGAGGCTTTGGTTCTAAACGTCGAAGGCGTTATCGAACAGCCGAAGTCGACCCACATTTTTCTTCAATATCAAATAGTTAGTCCCACCCTGATGAAGATGTAAACGAAACATCGTTCCAACTTTGCAGGGTTGGATTTTGTGGCACCGCCGTTCACATAGCCTACCCACCAAATTTGGTCGCGATCGGACGACATCAACTTTTCTAACGTCAAAACTAACTGTCACAGTGACACGTGTCGTACACGGTCAAGATGGCTTTGGTCCAATGTATCAACATACCAAATTTTATTTAAATCGGACGATTTTTTTGATTTGATTCATTGATGATGAGGTTTCATAGTGCACGAAACATTGTCAAAATATCATAAAAAGATTGGGCTCTTTGAGCCCCATATAAAGTGATATTTAGACTATATTATTATTTGTGTGTGAAACTGATTATTTGAAATAAATAATATTATGACACCGTATAATAATAATATAGTATAGTACAATAATAGTATGATTATACGGGAGCTATTATTATTAATATTATGACAACATTTTTCGTGTCCTCGCTATTTAAACCCGTGTATTTGTTTAGTCAGCCCTTTACGGTATTCTCCGATGGTGCCAGTATGTATGACACTATTTTTTTAAGTTTAAAACTTAGATCGGTCTCTTTATTACCGGATAGGTTAAAAAAAGACCTTCAATGCCATCGGAACTTGAAGACAATCCGAAGCACGTGACCGAGTAATCATGCCAATGGAAGAGAATAAGTTGAGCCGAGAATAGCATCTGCAGCGTCTGCATTTTTATTCTTCGGAACGTGATTCGAATTGATTAAATTAATATTAGAATGGGGAAGGAATGAATTTGAGAGAAAAGAGGCTCTGTACCTGACAAAAACATTTTTGTAATCTAAGTTATTTTAAAATTAATAAGAGCCAAATTCGTATGTTTATCGTATTTAGTATCGTTATTTTTTATATAAACTTTCATAAGTGAAAGAAAATCTTAAGTTGTGTAATTTTTACAATTTTTAATGGTCCGTATACCTCAAAAGGAAAAACACGGATCACTTTGTTGTCTGTCTGTCCGTATGTCTGTCAAAGCCCTTTATCTCTGGAACGCATGAAGGTATCGAGTTGAAATTAAAACCATGTACAGGGTGGCTCGAATACGACGCTCATTATTGGGATTTCGGAAACCACAAGAGATACAGGATCGGTTAAATGGAGGCAAAGTTGCACAATTTGATGCTCAATGCCGTATTGCATTTTGAAAAATTCCAAATACTTCCAAATATATACGAAAAAAAACACGGAATTTTCAATTTTGTTTTCTATTGTTTCCTGGCTTTATTTGTTAAGATAACTTAAAAACACATTTTCATGTGACTATTTTTTCTGCTCTATAACTTTGTGTGATTAAATATTGACTCTGACGTTTCGGCTTCTGGCGACCATCAACTTAATTTTTTTTAAATACGGACCTGATTTTTTTTAAACTCTTTGTTGACTGAATTTCAAATTTTGAATTGAGTTAATCGTGTCATGTGGGATATCGTATGAAAAAACTTCATTGGCATAACCTTAAAAGGATTTTTAATTATTTTTATGATGTATAGTTTTCGATTTAAAAAATAACTTTGATTAGGCTACCTACTAACTAATTTAGGTATAAACTGTTTTAAATATAAAGCACACACAAACATGCTAATTACATATATAAGAAAAGTATTTTAATACTTTAAACATTGTCTAGTTTTCAAAACTTTATTATAATATCCAGCCAATAGAAACACACGCATTATTATTTGGAAATTGCTTGTCGTTTTCTTTGAAGTTATGCCAAACCATTTCAAAATATTATTCTGATTTATTCAGAACTTAATTGCAAGAACAAAACATTCTAATATCAATATTAACTCTAACATTTAATAAACAATTATATAACATGTAGATTTCTACACAATTAGAAAAATTGTAAATACTAATATCTACAGGCAGACAACTACTAACTGTAATAAAATATCGCCACGTAAATGTATCATACGCATCAAATTTAATTACAGCTGTTTAGTATCATAATAGTCGATAGTTTCCTTAACACCAAAATGCAGTTATGTAATTACGGAATTGCTGCAAAGCGATCTACATAAAATCATCGTTTCACATCAACCTCTATCCTCGGATCACATAAAAGTCTTCTTGTACCAAATACTTAGAGGTAAGTAAAGATTATTATCCTTAGTTATAATAAAAACCTAAATAATAGAATATTCCATTATAATTGATTAACCTACTATTACATAAATATCACTTATTTTTCCTCTAATTTTGATATTAAACTTATCAACTTTCAACTGATATTTAGTACTGCATGTAATTATGGAAATTTACACTAATTCATGATTATAATCGAAAAATTAGATAAATTTCACCTAATTTTCAGCCAAAAAGAAGTAATTTTTAAATAACACTCCGATCATTACAGTTATTTACGCTTTTGAAACACGAGAGAAAGTAAATTTGGGGTAACGATGTCAAATTATACATATTACTTTTTTTTCGTTGTAACCTAAGGAGTCTAGAGTAGTAATTATGGAATTTTACGATGATTTTTTTTTCAATTTTTATTGGCTGGTGATAGGTAGTAGTCCATTTATATGATGGTGATAGGTAGTAGTCCATTTCAGAACAATGACAAAAGTCGTTAGAAACACATCTAAGATATGGTCATATTTCACACATTTTTTTCTGATTTCTATTAGGAATGATTAATCTATCATTGTTCCAATTTTATATGTAATTATTTTATAGAAGAAACACCATTATTTAATTTATAAATAAAGTTGTCGATAGTGTCAAAAAGAGTATTTCCCAAAAGTTTTGTTTTGGAATGCGTCCATGATACAGGATGGCTCATTACTGCGACGAAGTCCAATATCGTCGTTGTTGACAAATATATGAAAAAAAGTTTTATATAAATATTGCATGGTTTACAATGGTGCATATTATAAAAATACTTTGTTATACACTGGGTCTCCCAAAAAAAGTTATGATGAAGTTTTATTTTTTTTATTAATTTGCGTAATTTTCAGTAAATATGAAATGAAATGGCAACACTGCATAGTGCTGGAAATAAAAATAGCGTACTTTATGCAGAATTTTATGCTAAATACAAATCTGGGTAGAGAAAAATAGGGGGTGCAATATAAAAAAACTGAAAACTTTATCATAACTTTTTTTGGAACACTTATTCAATTGTTTTTGGTCACTTCCTGCTGTCAACTCTGATACGTAGCGTATCTCGTTGTAATATGTTCGTTTATTTTGGTGAATTACCGTTTTATTGCTAATTCCCCACGTGCCCGACGACATTCACCGGCAATGACTACAACGTTTGATTTTTAAATGACACTCCCGGTATATTTCTACTTTATTCGATAGACAGTGAAACCCTCAATCGAATGACATATCATATGTCAACTGTTGATATTATCGCATATGGTTGTAGTATTTGAAAATGTAACATGCGAAGACTAATTTTTAATCAAGGGGTCTTGGAAAAATAGTTTTGATCGTCTAATGTTTTTCGTATCTTTCGTATCCTGGTCGGTTTGGTGAAAATATATTATATCTCATTTTTTTCAAATGGAACAAGGGCGGCTCATTAGCATAAAGCATTTTTTTACGAATAATTTGGTACCACACACTTTTACCCGGTATTTCGAGTCGAATTGTTGTTAGGAACTGCATATTGTAATTTAAATAAACCATAAGTATGCGAAAATATCAAAAGTTGACATATGATATGTCATTTGATTGAGAGTATCATTTTCTATCGAATAAAGTAGAAATATACCGAGGGTGCTATTTAAAAATCAAAAGTTGTAATCATTTCCGGTGAAACAGGATTTAACTTGAAACAATTGAATACGTCAATCAATCCTAATTTATGTCATATCTCGTTTCTTTATTTGAAAAAATAAAAAAAGTTGTAGGGGTGAATCACTTTCGAGACGCACCCGATATATTTTTCTATTTTTTGTAGGGTAAATATGAGTTTCTTTTGAAACGAAAGTAGTTGAGTAATCCGCAATACTGTGTTGTTTGTAATTCGATAAAAATTTTAATAATAACATATGAATAATAAAATTTATTTCATTTTGGCACAATATCTGACACGATCGACAACTGTATTTAATAAATTATAGATATTATACTAATTTTCCTTCTTTTCTTTTTGCCAGGTTTAAAATATATACATTCAGCTAGGATATTACACAGGGACATCAAACCCGGCAACCTCCTAGTCAACAGTAACTGTGTTTTAAAGGTAAGCGATCCCATTTCGCCACTGTTCGTACTTGTTTGTTTTTCATCTGTCGATTAATCTGGGCGCTTCTGAGTAAATCAGAGTCAACGAACGATTTTATTATAGACCTCACTCGGGCATTGCGAGATGGTCTTGCCTTTTTTGCCGCAAGATGATATGCATCGGCGGAGAGTGGTTCTCTCGTAACATCTTTCGTTGAATTGGCGATTGCTTAAAAACGACGACGTATACAGTTACATGTACCCATTGTTGTTGTGAGAGAAAAACCATGTATAATTATTTTTTAGCATGGGATGCATTATTTTTGCGTTAAATCTAAAATTCTGTGTTAAGTTATGAGAGCCATTTACATATGCTGATTATTTAACTAGTATTCAGAAAGATACTTAAGATCTAACTACAGAGATAAATAATATATGTACAGTATAAATCTAAATGTTAAATGAGATTGTTTCATGGTAAATCTGTATAGACGATAGTAGTGGTAGTTTTTTTTTGTTTCCCGAATGCAAGATTTTTTACACTCACATGATACCTGATAGACATAGTCTATCCAACGGAACGATGCCTGACAGTAACAGCCGTCTTTGTCATTTTAATTCACAAGCAAATTGTTTGTCTGTCAATTTTTGGATGTCGTCTATCGAAAAAATTTCCTGTTTCTTTGGACAGACTTTATATCCTTTCTTCTGATCAGAACCTTTTGGTTTTGTTTTTGTCAAGACGGAGCTAGATAGGAGCAAGATGTGTAACAGCGCTTTCAGACGGAGCGGAGCGTCCGCGACGGGCCGTCCGTCGTGTTTCTTTAAGATAGCCGTCGGACGGATTATACGCGACCATGTGAAAGTTCATATAAACTCATGGTACTTGCTCGAAGGCACGGACGGTCCGTCGCGGACTCTCCGTTCCATCTGAAAGCGCTGTAAGGAACAAGATAGTAACGGCGCTTTCAGATGGAGCAGAGCGTCCGCGAGTTCCATGAGTTTAAATGAACAAGTTCACATGGGTCTCGTATACTCCGTCCGGATGAGCTATCTTGAAAAAACATCCGCGCGGACGGTTCGCGCCATCTGAAAGCGCTGTAAGGATCGGCTTTACAGCGCTTTCCGATGGAGCGGACCCTCCGTCGTGTTTTTTCAAGATAGCCGTCGGACGAACTGCGTCGGACGGAGCATACGCGCCCCTGTGAAAGTTCATATAAACTCATGGTACTTGCACGAAGGCGCGGACGCTCCGCTCCATCTGAAAGCGCTGTAAGGATCGGCTTTGCAGCGCTTTCAGATGGAGCGGACCGTCCGCCACTGACCGTCCGTCGTGTTTCTGTAAGATAGCCGTCTGACGGAGTATACGCGACTATGTGAAAGTTCATATAAACCCATGGTACTTGTTTAAAGTCGCGGACGGTCCTCTCCATCTGAAAGCGCTGTTACTCAGTTTCTTACATTTTTCGATATTTAAAATACTAGAGATATTAATTTTTAATATTGTTTTGAAAAGGGCTTAAAAATGGAAAATGGTATTATGTTGTCTGAATCCCTTTAGACTTGCTCGAATCCCTTTAGACATGGCCAGATGTCAAATTCCTTTTCAAAACAAAATCAGAAAGTCGAAATTTCATTTAGGTCAAAAAGTTGAATGAAAATAATTTAGAAATATATTTTTTTAACTTTTTTGATTGTCAAATCATGCCCATTTTTACATTTATGAATGTTTTATAATAATGATTATTTCTTTTAACAGATCTGTGATTTCGGTTTGGCTCGAGTAGAGGAACCCGACGCGTCCAAACATATGACGCAAGAAGTGGTCACGCAATATTATAGAGCGCCAGAAATTCTGATGGGCGCAAAACATTATACTGCAGCAGTGGATGTTTGGTCAGTGGGATGTATATTTGGTGAATTATTAGGACGGCGGATACTATTCCAGGTATGTTGTTTGTTATTTATTTGAACTTACACTGTTTATATCGTTCAGCTATATTGTTATCCTATTTTTTGGGTTCCGTACCTCAAGAGGAAAAACGGAACCCTTTGAACAGGTTCACTTTGTTGTCTGTCCGTCTGTCTATCAAGATTTCCCCTTTATCTCGGGAACGCGTGAAAGTATCGAATTGAAATTAATGTATGATCGAGAACTCAATCGATAAAATAAAACCGTTTAAAAAGACTGCTGGGGAATGACATTCGATAATAATTTTGAGAGGTAAATCTCTAGACATGATTTAGTAAAACTTTAAAGTTTTTAGTCAAAAATTAACACTAATTATACAGGGTGGTCAGAACTGTATTCCGGAAACTTCGGCAGCATATTCTGCAGATAAAAATAAGTAAAAAAGTTGGTATAAATGTATGTCCTAAATTGCTTAATATCGCAGTTAAGGGTATAGAAATGCATTTTTATTTCGATTTTTTCCAAATAATTTCTGAAGTAACGTCAATATGCGGATAAAAATTGGTGTCTGGGGTATTTTTGACATAAGAAATTTGATTTTGACTTCAATATGACTCCTATTTGTAGGGGGCGCCACCTACATGTGTTTTCACTGATTTGAAGAGTAATAACTTTTCGTCCGTATCTGTATAAAACTACTGAATGAAAAAATATACATTTCCGTGATTTTTTACGTAAAAAATGTCTCTTGGTAAAAATCGCTACAAGTAAGCGTTCTCAAGCTCAAGATATTTAGAATGGAAGTAGTCAATACCTCTTAGGTTATACCTTATAGTCTCTTGGTAAAATTGGTAAAAATCGCTACAAGTAAGCGTTCTCAAGCTCAAGATATTTAGAATGGAAGTAGTCAATACCTGTCATTATTGACGAAAAATAAACATGTCGAGTAGATGTTAATGATACATTTTAAAACTTTTTATTTTTTAAATAAATCATAAATTTTTCTTCGAAAAACTAGAGACATTTTTTACGTAAAAAACGTCGAAAATGTATATTTTTTCGTTAGTTTTATACAGGTATGGACTAAAAGGTATTACTCTTCAAACCAGTTAAAAAATATGTATGTGGTGCCCTCTAAGTAGGAGTCATATTGATATCAAAATCAAATTTCTCATGTCAAAAAACTCCCAGACACCAATTTTCATCCAAATATTGACGTTACTTCACAATATATTTAGAAAAAATCGAAATAAAAATGAAATTTGAACACCGTGTATCTCCGAAACTAAGCATTTTAGCACATATGTTTGCAAGAACTTTTTTACTTATTTTTCTCTGCCGAAGTTTACGGAATACAGTTCGGATCACCCTGTAGAAAGATTAAAAAAGGATAGAACATTTCCAGACACAAATCTATTTCCAAAAATTATTTTTCTCGAATTACTACACCATTTAAAAAAATCATTTTTTATTTCATATAAAATTAAATTACAACCTTCATACGGCCCACCGGCTGTAAGCGCCACTAGTAAATGACGTCTAGGGCTTGACTTCGCCAAAATTATCATCTATTATTATTCCCCAGCCTTTTGACGCCGTTTTTTCAATTGTATAGTATTTTCCAGAGTTAAAATACAGTCGAATTAATATCTTTTCAAATTTGATTTTTAGGCCCAAAATCCAGTACAGCAATTGGAGCTTATCACGGAACTTTTAGGAACCCCTTCATTGGAGGATATGAAGTACGCCTGCGAAGGAGCCAAGACGCATATGCTCAGGAGAGCGCCCAAGCCCCCCTGCTTGTCGGCGCTGTACACTCTCTCCTCGCAAGCTACGCATGAAGTTGTACATCTGCTGTGCCAGATGTTGGTTTTCGACCCGGTAATTTATCATTTTTTTCCTATCCAGATATACTGTGGATCAACTATTGAAAATTATTAGTATTTACTAATTTTTACAAAAAAAAATGAAAAACGTTAGCTGACTGATATCCGGATTTTGAGTTGCTACTTATAAAATGAAATTATATAACTTTTTTCTGGATTTAGCATTACTCATTTCTAATTATAATTTGTCTATAAAAATAAATATAGCTCACAATAGTATCAGAAATATTTAATAGTCACATAGTCACCACCCAAATCTCTATCAATGTCTTCGACTCCTTTTCAAAAAGAAACTTTGTTCTAAAAAACTTCAATTACATATTGTCATATAATTTGTATTCAAATATAAAACTATTTTTAGTTTTATTACTAAATTTGTAATGTCTCATAGCAATTATTTGTTTTTTTTTTTAAATCTTAAAAGTTAACTGTTATACGTATATCTAACTACAGTTCATACCAATTAAACTTTTAGTCACGTGATTAAGCTTGACCGGTACAGCGTTGCCCACTTTTACATTTTTTCTTTTCATCAAAATATTTTACGAAACAAAAATAAATTAATTATAAATATATAAACAGTTATTATTTAGATCAACAAAACTCACTTTCTTAACAGCACCTACGGGAGATAAAGGGCCATTACTACCGCTTTCCCGTTCAAAATATTCTAATAAAGTTGAGTTTTTACGATGAGTTTTTTACGGCTATTAAGCTATCTTGTACACTTCGCACTAAAAGAGGTTCTAAAAAAGGCAATGTTGGACTACAAGGCCTGCTAGTCAACATTTTAAAGCTTAAGCTTCATTCAGAACCTCCCAATTAGTAGAATAAATTAGTGGTTTCAATTACACTTTATACTTTTTAGTTTACGATCATTCACCATGCCTAAAAAACACAACTAAAGATGAAATTATGAAATATCCTAGCAACAGCTTGCGGTAGTCAGTTGTATCCATAGAGAAAGCATAATATTTAGCTTATAAAACAATAAACTTTTGATTTCTAACCAACATTTTTCTTGACTATAATTAGTGGAAAAGTCAAAAGTTTGTTAACTTTTTCCAATAATTGAAAATTACTACCACTAATTATGACGTTCTGAATGCTTACATTAAAATTAGGTTATCAAACTTCTACGACTAATAATTGAAACTGCTAATTTATTCCACTGATTTCGAGGTTCTGAATGAAGCTTTAAAGTATCAGCACTATTTATTTAAACCAAAAACTCGTAATACAAAACTAAAGTGTCAAAACGAATGACAATGTCAGGGAATAAATAAATAAATGCGGTAACTTGACATTTTTTACAGCAGAGCTACCACCTGAATCCCCAGCGCGAAATTTAAATTTTAGTTAGTCAGCCCGGCGCCGAATATCTCCATGGTTGGCAACAATGAATTTAAAAATCGTACTCTCTATTACGTAACTAAAAGTTAATTGATATGAACTATACATAATGTTTTCTTGCAAAAACCTGTTTATACAGGGCGTACCAGAAATAAGTGCAAATATTTTAACTGGTAGTATAATAGTTGAACTCCAGAAACACGCCTATGAGGTTTTTTCGAGAAAAAAATTTGAAAATTCGAAATTTTTTAGATTTTTTTTTTAGTTTTTAGTCAAAAAACATAATTTCTTGATAATATGGCAACATAGGTGATAGATTAAAGTTTACAAAAAGAAAATCGAAAAGATCCAGTGATTCTCAAAATTTTAGCAAAAATTGGAAATTTTAAAGTGAAATAACTCGGTTGTTTTGGTTTATTTGAGAAAAACGATAAAGAGAAAATATGTTTCTTTATCTTGAAATCTAGCACCCATCTTATATGACGAGTAGAGTAAATATCCCCAATAAGAAAAATAATTATAAGTCAAATAAATTTATTGGCGACATATCACAAACGTGACTCAACGATCCACGCCTACAAACTTTTTTGTAATGCAAATTAGATGATGCTTTTCGAGTTCAGTTTTTGGTATAAAACCGTGAGAAATATCACATGTATAAATAAGTCTATAGAGTATTCTCGAACAAAAAAAATTGTTGAATTAATATTAGCTTAAAGGTGGTAGAAAATCAATAGACAATTTTTATTTGAACATAAATTGTAGTTATACTGTTAAACTCAATTCATGTCTAAAATTGTGTTATACTTGGACTGCTGCGTTAGATTTCTCTAGAAGTTATGAAAGCCGTTGGTACTTCAATGCTGGGCTGAAATGGAAATGCTGAAAATATTATCATTGTTTTAGTGCGGTTCCCTGTGGATAACTATAGCTTCTGGCCACTGAATGTTAATTTGACCATCCAACTGTTAATACATGGAAAGAAATAAGTATCTAGGTAATTGAGTGCATAATGATATTTTTACGTTACCACTTTATATATTAACAGAACTCATGACTGGACTTGACCAAACATTGTCTATCATACCTGACTTAGTGTAGTGATGAGCGAGACTCTTGCACAAAAAGACCAAGAGAAAGACTAGCCTATAAGGAGTATTTTTACGGAACTACTGGAGCCGTCAACGTAAGTGCTAACCAACCTAATTTAGAATAAAGTGGGTAATGCGACTCTGGAGTATCTCCCGCATACCTGCCACAATAAAAATATTTCACGTCATTTTGCATCTGTCGAAATTTTGATGCTTTTACCTGCTATCTGTTTATAAAAAACTCATTAAAGTCATTAATCATCACTCTTTTTGACTCTTTTACTGGAAAAGATATCGCTCTTGCATATCGGACAATAAAAAGATTTCACTTTGATGCTTTTACCCGTTATCTTCCTATAGAAAAGTCGTTAAACAAGAAAATAAACTTCACGGACGCTTTTTGGCCCTTTCAGTAGAAGATATTATCCCGAAATACTAGTTATCGCAAACAAGGTAAATCGGGCCATTTGCTATCGTTAGATACGGTAACGACCACCACTAAAACTAAAAACAGCGTTTCCTGATGTTCGGCGAATTATTTCTTATATATATATATATATAATTAAAAATAGAGAGCTCATTTTAACATTGTACCTAAAAGAAAAAACGAAAATTTATCACTTGGGTTAGAATATTATGATGATATCCATTCTGATCTAATTTGATTGGTGGAGAAACACTTTCGAGCAGTTATACATCCTCTGTCGAGAAACGCATATCGTCTAATAGCTAACCAACCTAACTTAGAAAAAAAAGGTGGTAATGCGACTTTGGATATTTCCCGCATATCGGCCACAATAAAAATATTTCACGTCGTTTTGTATCTGTCGAGATTTTGATGCTTTTACCCGTTATCTCCCTATAAAATAATGTCATCAAACAAGAAAAACTTCATGGATTCTTTTTGGCCCTTTTACTGGAAAAAATTACTTCGAAATACTAGTTATCGACAACAAGGTAAATCGGGCCATTTGCTATCGTTAGATACGGTAACGATCACCACTAAAACTAAAAACAGCGTTTCCTGATGTTCGGCGAATAATTCTCGAAATAAGGGGGCTTTAACGATCCGCGCCAGCCCCGTTTACATCAATTCAGCGCCCAGTATCAGCCGGACAAATTTTATCGCATCGAATTGTGCGGTGGGCAGCGGAAACCGCGACTCTAGCATGGCTTGCACCTCTCCGACGCGTGGGACGCCCATGGCGACATCTAGCACTTTTCTGCAACGCGCGTCGTCGGTTTTACTACCACGATTTTAGCAATTAATCGACCTATATAACTTAATTTAAAACGTAAACACACCGTTTACTGGTTCCGACTTAATGATCATTAGTACTGGATTTTATTACCGCATTATGTAATACAATGTTTATCGACAAGTTAATAGACAGGTAATTTGCAGCCATTAACTGCTTTTAACGCATATTATAATTCAAAATAGAGAGCTCATTTTAACATTGTAACTAAAAGGAAACACGAAAATATATCACTTACGTTAGAATATTATGATGATATCTATTCTGATCTAATTTGATTATATATCGTCTAAGAGCTAACCAACCTAACTTAGAAAAAGACGGTGGTAATGTGACTCTGGAGTATCTCCCGTATATCGGCCACACGTTTTGTACCTGTCAAAATTTTAATGCTTTTACCCGTTATCTCCCTATAGGTATTTCCTGGCGTTTCTAGCAATGCCCGCCAATTGCCTGTTCCACCTAGTAATGCTGGTATTCAATGTCCATTTATTTTGAGTTAGTAAGGTTTCCGAAAACATTTTATATCTCGTTCCTTCGTTCATTATTGAACTCTCTATAAAGATACTGATTAAATCTGGGGTACGCCTCACCTCCTTAGCTAGAATTCATTCCATCATTCATTCCATTGAGTATCATGTGTCCTATTAGTGTTTTGTTAAAACTCCGTGACAATGCGAAGATTGTTCGTACTTAAATCAAGGAAAATCTTTGTAAGATAAATAATTATTGTAAGTCTTGAGAAACTTCTTTGAGTATGTTAAACCATTGCAGGATTCCGAGTCCAAGTTACAGAAGGAGTCTTCCAAGTTCTTGAGTTCCACTTTGAGTTGGTTTCCACTTGGGAAGCAGAACGGTTCTGGGCCCGAATTTGAACTTAGAAAACGCTAAGCGCTTTTAGACGCTCAGCGTATATGACGTTAATTTTCGCTTAGGGCGCACTTAACTACCGATTTGGGTATTCTCATCTGACGCGCTTAGCGTCTTTACTGATTGCGCTAAGCGATTCGAAAATGGCTCCCTTAAAGGATTGTTTTGCTTGTTGAACTGTCAGTAAAAATAGAAAAAATTGTGATTGTGCGTTCTTCTATAAATTCCTCAATAAGTAATTCATAATTTACGACTTGGAAGCTGTAAAAATTGTTTAAAACATCGAAAATGCTGAGAAGCGTTTTCAACATTTCCCTCGTATAATAAGAATAATGACATATCCATAGAAAAATACGTTACCATAACTCAACAATATGTTATGAAATTCACGTAACATTGACATTTTTTATTGTTACATCCATCAGTTATCAACTTTTGCCTATTAGCTACGTTAGAAATTGTGATGTTGCCAATATGTGCTCAACGTGTATCAAGAAAACAATTCGCACGGAACGAGGATACCAAAATCGACTGCTTGGCGTGCCGCTAATCGAATACTTTCGCTTACTGCTTTGAAAGCGTAACGTTTTTATGTCAAAGTTCCAGAATTCAGGCCCTGGTCCAATTAGTGGAGCGCTCGATCCTCTTCTAGCTAGATCGATTGCTTTTTCATTACGATCTATCCATTGCTGGTCTGCCCATTTTATTCAACTTCTTTGACCAACTTCGAATAAACTCAAGCAATAAATTTGCTTTAGTTGATTGCTCATAAGAGCAATCAACTAAAGCAAATTTATTGCCGCGTATATATAGCCGCGTTATAAAACGCGGCTTGACTATAAGATAAGATGGCTATTTCTTGTTACCAATACGTTTTAGACGTTCCTATCTAAGATAAATTGTACGCATTTTTCGATAGCGTAGATCTTTGCCAAATACTCCTATCCCTGTTCTTGCTTTGGTTTTGGAAATATGAGTATACCACTTGCTGATACACCTATAATAAATGATTTTTCTCTAAGTATATGAAAGAAAAAAAGAGGTATAAACTTACTCGCTGGGCTATTCTCCGCCACATACGATGTACAAAAACTTTGAAGATGAGAACCACCCTGGGACACCGTGGTTGAAATTGAAGTGTCGAAAAATCCGAGTAAAACGTTAAAATTCTGCCAGAAATTATCTTTTGAAGACAAAATCAACACCAGAAGCTGTCCTCGAAATAAGGAAATTTCAGGAAAGTTATTAATAACATTTAAAGTATAATTCTAACGATTAATATAAATGGGAACCCTGCGCCACCACATTGAACGGCATTCACGGTACTACCAAAATTGCAGCGGTACCGACTAGGGATGGGCATTATTTGCTTAAATTCTGCTAGAGATGTAGCGCAAAAATAAGAAATTATTTTAGGCTGCTACAAGATAGATAAATGGTATATTCTCGAAATATAGTTGGGAACTTATCAATTGTTTGAGATGATCTTTCGATGATATAATTTGTTGCGAATTGAATACCAAAACATTCTAAGTCTATTGAATTTGATAGTAGTTGAAGATGTGCGTCGTCCTGGTACGTTGCGTTCTGTTGCGTCCATTTCAACCATAGACTTCAACCCTAGCTCATATCAGTTAAGTAATGCACACGCCAACACTGCCTTTGCCTTTGTTTGTCTGATTGCCTTCTTATCCATCGCATACTTCCCAATTACTCCTTCGCATATCTTCCATCCTTGTTTATATTTCGTCCGCGCGCTTGGTTTCAATGTCAAACGGACGACGGCCTTCTTTAAGGTAATTAGTTGAATCTCCATACTCTTCCGGAACAGGGAAAAATGCTACTATCACCTGATTATCACTTTGCCCAGTAATAATACCTTAACTCCTAATATAGCCTCAGCTGCAAAAAGGCTTCCACTAGTTACTGTCGTCCATCCTTTTTGTCTTAGCCCTTCGCAACCTCCTTCTTGACCAATCCATGTAGTTTTACTCTCTCGAAATGATGATTTTGGATCTACCATTTTTTGCTTTGATATTTTACTAGAAGATAACCTAAGATAATCAGGAGGATTTAGACGAGAAGAAAGATAAAAATAAGTTGATTTAAAAATTTCGTGACTATAAGTGTAAAGATTCTTTTGTCCTAGTAAATCATCTATGTTCTTAAAAACAGGAGCTACTGCATCGTGTCTCCATCTATTGTTCCATTTCACAAAATCTAGTGATAAGGTAATAGGGATAAAATCTTGACTATCACTGATTTGTGTTACATGGTGGATATGTCTTAATAATTCAGCCTCAGACCAACTCATTGTCTGACAGGGCATATGTTTAAATATTGTCCTAGCTATATTTGCTTCAGTGGCACAAAAATACAACCTCATTTCTAGTACCATCATGGCAAATAATCTAGAGTTGATCTTTACTTCTCGTTCTTATGCTCGTTCGCAAATATGGTGATAATGATTTATCAGATAATAATTCTAAGAAGTCTGGAAAGAAATCGAACTCAAATTCTTGATCATATTCTATACTACTCCAATCTTCTAACGTAAGGTTGTTCATATATTCATCAAAATGTATAATGTTTTCATTAATTATCTTGCTTATTAAATGTTCCTTTCCCAGATTTGTTTTACAGAGGGGCCAACGTTTATTCTTTTTGATAAAATTAATTATGAAGAAACTATTCCAAGCTCCTGTAATCTGATGAACCATTGACTGGTCTATCTCCACCTACTTCCTTGTATGCTCTTTCATTTTTTCACAGCCTTCTTCATTTACTGTAGGGTGACCAAAATGCCTATAACAACCAAAAAATTAAAAAATTTGAGAAGGGTGATCAGAGTATTTATCTATAATATCATAAAGATCATTAACCCATGTTCTTTCTTGATTGTCGTTGGACTCATTTATCAGCTCGTCATAGAATTGATGACAGATACTTAGTGAGTCTCCGACACAGATAGGCTCCAATTTTTTACAATAGAATAGCCCTCGTTACCTTTTTCAGTGATGATTGTATCACCCCATTGATAAAGAGTGAGAAGCCCGTCTGGAGTTGGTAGGTTAGGAAGATCAAAAATGGAACTCAATACACAGGTTAGATAGCTTAAGTATCTTGATGTAATAGTATCATGAATCATTAACACTTGGCTATAATCAAACATATACAGCAGATCTTGATATTCTATCAAGATACAATTGTTTAATAGATAGATAAATGGTATATCTCGAAATATAGTTGGGAACTTATCAATTGTTTGAGATGACTTTCCCTTTCGATGATATAATTTGTTGCGAATTGAATATCAAAACATTCTAAGTCTATCCCTCATGGTCATCGTCTGTCATCATAAAAATTGTCGGTTTGAATTTGTAAAATTAGAGAATCGGTGTCAGTGTAGAGAAGTGAAGCTTTATTACCGTACTTTGGTTTAATATAGCTATACAAAAAATCATACATAATAGTTTTGGAAATTTCCAAAATTGAAAAGCCTACGTAAATAGGTTTATTATATACGATTTTCTGTTTAGCTATATGTATTGCGACTAAATTTTCGCTAAAAATCGTTAAGTCTTTAAAATGCGGCTTGGAAATGTACGTTTCTGCCCCTAGCTTTCTACCAATATTTTCCCAGTGGGTAACTAATTTAATATTTACCCGTTTCTCGACGTTCTCCATTGTTTTTCCAAATACAGCGTTATTCATAAGTTTGAAAAAGTCTTTTTCAAACTTATTTTCAGCGTCATTACGCTTTGCTGTATTTAGATCAATGTAGGTTTTCAACCAGGGAGATTGGTTAAAGGATAAAATACGATGAATTTTGGCAAGTTTCAGACCATGGTTCAACGCTTGTTGTAAATTTTGATAATGAATTACATATCTAACTTTGGAATTAAACTTGGGTATTAATTTTGAAACTTTAGATCCCTCTGGTTGAACAGACTCTGGGCAAAATGGTAATTCGTTGTGCAAATCATGTAAATGCTCCGGATACTCTAAATCGACTTCAAAAACATAACCTATATTAGAATTTTTATCGATATTCATAAAATTTAAGTTTGAAATTTCTTCCTCTGTTAGCCACGTAAAGTTACCTGTTGGTAGATATTGCGACATGGCCGCACCATATAAATTGGTAGCATCCAAGTACATAATGTAGGAAGTAGGTTTGGAAGCGTCGTATATAGACATAAATTTATTATTCGCGATAGCTTTTCTAACACTACATTGACTGACACCGCTGCGAATCCCGTGTTTAAAGAAATGTATCATGTCTAGATCTGTCAATAATTCCAGCTCGATAGATGTTGCCTTCAAAGCGGCCTGAAACGATAGGCCTGGTGCGGTGAAATATTGACAATGATCTAGACCGTATGTTTGTAGACACACACCTCTAAAATTCTCAAAAACATCAGTTAATAATAGTACGTCGGATTTTAAATATATATCTGAATATTCACCTAAAGTTTGACATTTAAATAAATTCCATACGTTCAATGCACGCTCGTAAAATCACCTTGTTTGATGGCTTCTTTTCTAAGTTCGTTATAGAAGCCATCAATGGGTGGAAGCTTGGTATCGTCTAATTTGGAAAAAGAATCTACGTACGAATATGGGAAAACAC